GTTTCGATTATCGCAAAAACCTCGATTTTGAGAAATAACGTGATGATTGGATGGAAAGTCATATCGCTGGAGTTATGTCGTTTTGGAACGTCAAATCTCCGCGCGGAGTTATGTCGTTTTGGAACGTCATATCTCCGCGCGGAGTTATGTCGTTTTGGAACGTCATATCTCCGCGCGGAATTATGTCGTTTTGGAGCGTCATATCTCCGCGCGGAGCTATTACCCGAGATATTAAAAATATTATCGAAAAAGTTTCGATTTTCGCACCGACCTCGATTTTGAAAAAAAAACGTGATGTAACCCCTTGATTTTTTGTCGATTTGGGTCAAAATTTAGATTTTCATTCTGTTGATGCCAATCGATAGTACCGATCCTTACGAGGCCAAAATGGTATACAATTCCAAAATCCGACTTTATTTGGCCGAGATATTTCCAAAAATCATGAAAAAAGGTCGAATTTAGAGACGAGTCGTTTTTTGGTCAGCAAATTTTTTGAACCCATCGATTTTAAGTTTGTTTGAATGTCAATTAATAATAGGGATTTGTAAGAATACAAAAAGGCATAAAATATAAAAATCAGACAATGTTTACCCGAGAAATTAATAAAAAAAATCATCAATAAAGTTTTGATTTCGAGTCAAAAGAAGGTTGACTTTACGAACGAATCGGTTTTTTGTCTACAACATTTTACTTAACAAATAGATTAAATTTGCCTTGAATGTCAATTGATGGTAGGGATCCGTACGCATTCAAAAATGTATAACATTTTAAAATCAGACATTATTTATCCGAGATATTAAAAAATCATCGAAAAAGTTTCGATTATCGCAAAAACCTCGATTTTGAGAAATAACGTGATGATTGGATGGAAAGTCATATCGCTGGAGTTATGTCGTTTTAGAACGTCATATCTCCACGCGGAGCTATGTCGTTTTGGAACGTCATATCTCCGCGCGGAGTTATGTCGTTTTGGAACGTCATATCTCCGCGCGGAGTTATGTCGTTTTGGAAAGTCATATCTCCACGCGGAGTTATGTCGTTTTCGAACGTCATATCTCCGCGCGGAGTTATGTCGTTTTGGAACGTCATATCTTCACGCGGAGCTATGTCGTTTTGGAACGTCATATCTCCGCACGGAGTTATGTCGTTTTGGAACGTCATATCTCCGCGCGGAGTTATGTCGTTTTGGAACGTCATATCTCCGCGCGGAGTTATGTCGTTTTGGAACGTCATATCTCCGCGCGGAGCTATTACCCGAGATATTAAAAAAATCATCGAAAAAGTTTCGATTATCGCAAAAACCTCGATTTTGAGAAACAACGTGATGATTTTATGGAAGGTCATATCGCTGGAGCTATGTCGTTTTGGAACGTCATATCTCCGCGCGGAGTTATGTCGTTTTGGAACGTCATATCTCCGCGCGGAGTTATGTCGTTTTAGAACGTCATATCTCCACGCGGAGCTATGTCGTTTTGGAACGTCATATCTCCGCGCGGAGTTATGTCGTTTTGGAACGTCATATCTCCGCGCGGAGTTATGTCGTTTTGGAACGTCATATCTCCGCGCGGAGTTATGTCGTTTTGGAACGTCATATCCTTCGGACAAAAAAGTTTTAAGGACGATTTTGCTAAAAAAAAATAAGCCATAGCTCGAGCATATCCTTGCGTATCCTGGCACGCCATATGTCAAAATAATTGTGCTGACCAGGACTACCATCTATATTATTCTTAGATGACCCCTTATTTTAATGATGCAGATCGATGCAGGGTGTCCGTACGATCCTAACGTACCATGTCCTTTGAAAATCTGCAAGGACATGCCCGAGTTATGGCCATTTTTGTTTACATAAAATGTCTATATATATTTTTTGCCTTGTTTAATTTAAATGTGTTTATATCCTTTCAGATTGACAAATTAAGGACTACAATGCTCTAAGGACCTCCACACCTAACAAAGCAGATTTTTCCGGGATCGGACTTAAATTAAGTCAAATATACGTATTTTAAGTTAAAATAAGCAACAATTGCAATTTATGCTCGTTTTGTATAATTTAAAGAGTATTAATTAAGAAAATTAGCATAAAAAACAACAGTCTTGTAAGTTTCAAAATAAATAAATCAATTTTTGAAATTAAAAAGCGAAATTTCTGTTCTTTTATTTAAAAATTCAAAAATCAACGGTTTTTAGATATCTATTGCACACCCGTGCGGGCGTTTGTTCGCAATCGCTAGCTGCCGAGATTTTTCTTGAAATCTGCTAAAATACCAGGCGAACAGAAATGCACAGAAGGTCGACAGCAAATATTTTTAGCTGCCGAGAAATTTCGTTGCATACTCAAACGGGCCGCCCTCGTTGCCGGCTGGTTCATCAAAATGCATTAAAATTCCACTCAAATACCAGGCGAACAGAAATGCGCAGAAGGTCGACGAGTTCTTCGAATAAAAATTTTCATTGCATAGCATTAAGGGGCATAAATGAAACTCATATCAAATGAGCACTGTTAATTAGCAGTTCATGTTAAAGGAGTGCTGTAAACTGGCTGTTAAACAACATGCGGCTGCAGCTAATGTAAAGGGGCTCCTGAAAGAAAGAGCATACATGTTTTTGGACCATTTCAACGCGCACTTTGCAGGGATCTGATTCTTTAGGTTCCCAAAGAATATATCGATGGTATGGTATAACCAAGGATATGCTAGTCAACTAGAAACTATCCAGGGGGCGGGACTGTTGCTGGAGGCGGCTGTTAAAGAAAAACATACACATTTGTGTACATCTGTTATGGGTAAGCGATTTGTAGGTATTTCTTTTTTTTTTTTTTTTGGAATTCGTCTTTTAATTTTTATGTATATTTTATTTTAATATTTTACGTGTTAGGAAAACAATGCAAAATCATATTTAACTTATTTATAAGAAACTTTTGTTTAGCTTAATAATCGATCGTAATTGATGACAGATTACATTTAGTTAAAATTGTGTTAAAACTAATTGTTGTTTTATATTGTTTTTGTTTTTGTTGTTGTTTTGTTGTTGTTTTTGATTTGTGTGCTAATTTTAGGGGGATTTAAGCAAAGCACATTTATTCACGCTGAGGAATAAATATGAATATAGTTTTCTTTATTTTATTTTTTTTTTGTTGTATTTTTAGCATTTTTCGAGATCCTTTCTTTCGATTCTGTGTGCAAAATGCAAAAACGAATTTCACAACAAACAAAAATTAGTTGATGTATAAAAATTATTTAAATTAAAAAAAATATATATATGTATAAATGTATAATTATATGAAAAAAATGTATATAAAATATTTAATACTTTTTGCTGATGCGAAACAAGTTTTTTTTGTTTACATTTTTGTATATATATATAGTTAGATATATATATATATCTTTTTGGCCGTGAAGGGCGGGGGCGTGGGCGCGGTTGCGGCAAGTTTGTGGCCACCGAAAAAAAAAAGTATTGTTGATGCACTAATTTAGTAAATGTTTAACTTGGTCAGTTAGACTACTTAGTGCCTGGCTTTTATACAATATATTTATATTAAATACAAATAAAATGAAACTGTGTTAAAATATATATCAAAAGGCTTTGCTGAGCCTTAACTGAAATGTGTCTCTGGTGTCGGGGCTTAAAAGTAACTAAAACAAATGAAATGCAAAATCGAAAAATGTTAACTTACTGTTAAGATGCTGTTCAAATGAGTGTGTCTGTGTGTGTGTGTGTGTGTGTGTGTGTGTGTGTCTGTTAAGCTCATATCGCGTTTAGCAGAGGAATTTACTGTTGTTGTTGGGACAAAACAAGCACAGGGTGTTTCGTGCCAACTTAGTGTAATTGTTTGTGTGTGTCAACTGTACCTGTAACTACGTTTAGCTAGTTGCATATTAACTATATATATATATATTTTTTTTTAAATACGTTTAAATACGTTTTTTTTCTCATTTGACAATTTATGAATTAATTGTTTAAACATTGTTTGCTCATATATTGAAATGTATTTTGTTTTGTTTTGTTTTTCTCGCTGTTTGCAGTTGTACAGCACTAGTAGCATGTGTTGTGTAGTGTTGTGTAAGTGTTAACATGTACAGAGCTAGTGCCTAGACATACATATACATATTTTCTTTACGTTATGATCTTGCTTTTAAACATTTAAATTGTTGTAATTAGTGGTAACTGTAATTTTTGTAGATTAATGTAAATTTATTTAGCATATATATGTAAATATATTTGCTGCACACACATATTTATGCACACACACACTCACGTATTTATGCATAAATATATGTGTGCATTTAAGAGCTAGCATTAAATATTCCTTGCTTAACACACATATACGTTAGATCTATGTAAATCTCCATTACATCATTCTGGGGGCTTTTTTTTTCGATTTTTTCAAGTTCGTTTTTTTTTGTTTGTTTGTTTTTTTTTTTTAGTTGCGATTGCAAAATAGTAGATTACATACATTACATGGGGCACTTAAGACTAATACACTTAGGCGCTAGACACGATACGAGTGCTCGTACTTATTAAACATTATTTTATGCTTGGATTTCATTTCATTTTATTAAAAAAAAAAATCTCAAAAAAAAATACATATATATATACGCTATATATTGTGGGATTTTTTCTTTATGCCTAAGTAATTACTCGCCATATATATATATATATATATTTATATATATTTTTATAGTTCGATTTGTGTATGGGTTATGCTTTAATAATTTACAATTTTATAAAATTTCTAACATTATGTAAATTGAATTTTACTTGGTTTTCGTTTTCTTATATTTGCTTGTTTTAAATATATTTCTTGCGTCTTTTGAATAAACTTGTTTTGAATTTAAAAGTTTTTCTTCTTTCTTTCTTTTTGTTCTCTAATCTTTACACATAGATTTGCTTAGATGTAAATAAATGTTTTTGTTTTTCTTTTTGTTTTTAGTTGTAATTTATGCATTTTTGTACCAAACTAACTAGCCTATGCAAAAAAAAAATGTATGTTTATATATATATTTATGTGTGTATATATAGAAGAAGGGAGTAGCATTTGTTGATTTATTATTAAAATGGGATTTTTACATACTCTTGTGCTAATATGTACTTATGTGGGCTTTAAACGTTTACTTTTTGTTTTCTGTTTTTTTTTTTTTTCATTTTTATAGTTTTCTTTTTTATTTTTTGCTTGCCGCTGCAAATGTTTTGAATTTAGCTGCCTGCGTACTGTCCGTCCTTTTTGCTACTTTTTCTGTTCGCCTGGGTCACCCTGTGCGGCTTAACAGCAGCGCCTGCTGCATGCGTGTCACATGTTCGTCTTGTTTGATTTTTTGTTTTCTGTTTCTGTTTGCTTTTGTTTCCGTTTCCGTTTCTCTTTCTGTTTCCCTTACTGTTTCAGTTGGAGTTTTCATTTCGTATCGTTCCTCGTTTTAATTCTAAATTCTACATCAGTCGGTTTGGCACACAAGTCACGCGAATTGCGCGGGCGAGACACAGAGACAGAGACAGTGACAGCAGAGAGCGAGAGCGAAGGCGAGAGAGCGAGATAGTGAGAGAGCATTTTGAAGATGCTGCTGCTGCTGTTAGCGTACATTTAGTTAACAGCGAATGTCAAATGTGCATGCATTGTCTTAACAATTGTTGTTTTATGTTAATTAGCAGAAGTGCAGCAGCATTTAGTTAACAGCTTATGCTGCTTTTGCCAGACGTGCTGTCAATATTTATGTAAACTGTTGCTGTTCTTTTACATTCAAACAACAGCGAATGTCAAATGCATAGACTCAACATTTATTGGATTATGTAAATTAACATAAGCAGCATTTAGTTAACAGCGTATGCTGATCTTGTCAGCTGTGATGTGGTATTGTTTTTGCGAGCTGCTGCTGCTGTTTAACATTTAGTTAAGAGATTTTCAAGCATGTCCTAATATTTGTTGCCGACTTAATGCTGCTGTTATTTAACATTTGCTTTTGTTTATTTGAGCTGCTGTTAAAGTGCTTTAATATCTGTAGTTAACAGCGCTTGCATGCTGTTAGCTGCCAGCTGTTAACTGCACTCTGTTGTGTGTTGCTGTTACTGTTATTGTTGTTGTTATTGCTTCTCTTTATCATCTGCTTTCCCCTTTGCTGCTGCTACTACTGTTTGCCCGTGCTCCTCATCTTCTTTATCAATCTGCTTTTCAACTTTATCTTCACGTTCTGCTGCTGCTGCTGCTGTTGCTGCTAAAAAGGCAATTTGAATTAATTTGCAATTGCATTTTGAGTGGGGTGTTTGGCGCATATTTGGTAAATTAAACCTCGGTGCCATCCTCGCCCTCATCATCGAACAGCTGGCTTGTGCTGCCCTGGCCGCTGCGCGTTGCCGTTACGGACATTTTCTTTTTGGGCTTCGGCGGTGGCCTTGGCGGTATCTTGGCCATTTTTGGCGACTCCCCGCCCGGCATGGGCGTCGGCGAGGGCGAACCAAGCCCGGCGCCGCTAATGCTCGAGCCGGGCAATATCGTTATCCCGTGCAGCCTGCCGCCGTACAGCGGCTCCGTCTCCGAGTTGTATAAATGCTGCTGCTGCTGCTGCTGCTGCTGTTGGGCCTGTTGTTGCTGCTGTTGGGCCTGCATGGCCTGCTGCTGTTGGATGAGCTCGTGTATGGGCTCGTAGATCTTGCTGGCATTGGCCGCTGACGCTGAAGCTGATGCCACCGATGTGAGACTGGGCGTGGCTGGCAGCGGGCGATCTCGCATGCTGTACTGCTGTCCACCCTGTGCAGCGAGTGCACCCAGTGCACCCTGTGCGCTCTGTGCCTTGTGCAGATTGAGAGTCGAATTGCCGCCCGCCGTGGTGCGCAGCCCCAAGTTATCGTAGACAGGCTCCGCCTGCAGCTCGACGGTGGTCGCGGTGCCCGTCTCGCTGGGATTGGGCGAGGTGGGCGATTGAAATTCGCCGAGCTGATGGGCGGCTGCGGCCGCATTCGAGGTGCTCGGCGCCCAGCTGGGCACGCGCGGCTTGCGCGGAATCGTCATATAGCCCTGCTTCATGACCACGGCCGTGGCTGGCGAGTAGACAACGGGCGCGGGCAGAAACGGCGAGGCCGACGACGAAGATGAACCCTGCCCCTGCCCCTGCTGCTGTTGCTGCTGCTGTTGCTGTTGCAAGGCGGCGGCCAATTGTTGCTGCTGCTGCTGCTGGTGGCGACTGTTCGCGGTGGCAATGAGCGCCAGATTGCGGGACTTGGGATGCTGCAGGGTCATGAAGCCGTTGTGGGTGGCCGTCGCAATTGTTGTGGTGCCGTAGATGCCGTGCGGTGTCATGTGCGCGTAGACGGGGCTGGTGAGCGGCGGCGGGGAGCGTATGCCGTAGATGACCTGATCGGGTATGTTCGACTGCGAGGATTGCATCGAGGGCGAGGTGGGCGGCACGCGGGCGGGAAACGCTAGCAAATCCGGCGGCAAACTATTCCCGTACGTATCATCCACATAGGTGTGACGGGAACGGGGCGTGGTTGTTGTATCCGACAGGGCCACAGAGTGCGTCTCGTCGTCTCGCGTGTGATTGGCTGCATGGGCGTACACAGAAGGGGATGGGGCGGGGAGAGAGGGGTAGCGCAACAAAAAGAATAAATAAGAATTAGTTGGAGCAAACGAAATTTCATATAGACTACAAAATTAACAATTCCAATTTGGCCCAAAAACTGAATCGATTTTTCAAGCTTTTCCTAAACTAGATTTTCATTTTCTTTAAGGTTTCTGTTTCTGTTCAGTTTCTGCTTTTCGCAGCAGTTTCCCCACTCTCATTCAGCAGCTTTTCAAATATATCTATAACATTTCTCAACATTGCGAAGCCGCTAAGCGAAAAGTCGCTGGTTCGAACCTGGTTTGCGATTTCTACTTTCTTAAATTAAATACTAAATATATATAAAAAAAAGTGGGGAAATAACCTCTAACATTTTTCTAAACGACAAAAATAAATGATAAGATAATAGTTTAAGATAATAATATGCGATAATTCTAAGTAGAAGGATTCGTAGAAGGAATTAACTTAGGTCTGTATGAAAGGACAGCTGCCATTTCTAAAAGTTCGCGTTGACGAGTGAACACTGTAGCCCGAAAAAAACTCGCTTCTCATAATGGAAACCAGACTCTAGACTCCCCTTTCAGACATTGTCTAATAAGTTCCATTTATAAAAAAAAAAAATAAATCAATAAAACTCAAAAATATAAAACCTAACTTGTTCTTTGCGGTCTCTTCTTTCTTTGGAATTCTTTCTACTAGCCCAAAACTAAATCATTTTGTTGTTGTTTTTGTTGTTGTTGTTGTTGTCAATTTTCATGCGGTATATACCTTTTGGTTTTTGCTGTGTTCTCTATTTTGTTTTGGCATCTAAATATGATTCAATTCTGAAAATAAAAATTTCTCAATTTTTATATTCAGCTAAAAGCTAGGAAATTTTTTGGTTTTTTTTTTGTTTGTATGTAATTAGACCTTGAGCGTGCATTTCATGTGTTCCCCGAAACATTTACCTTTCCCTCTCACATCTGCAGCTGGGTTGAACGGAATACCCCTACTTTTCTGTTCTAGCTTAACCAACAAGTTATTTAAGTCAACTTCAGTGAGATCTTAATTGCAATTGTCATCATTTTTGTATAATAATAATTATGGAGCTTAGCTTTGGTATTGTACCTGAATTATTCCCTTACTTTTCACTACTTACTTTTGCACTAACCTATTCTAAAATTTGTAATAAAATTGCTCTTATGTCAAATTCGAAATGTAGTCTGTTTGTTATATAGGTCCTGAATTGCTCCCTCACATTTTCATTAAATTTTTTAAGCTTTTGCTTGTTTTACTAAACTATTCACAGATATTTCCCGTGCTCTGAAAGTTCCCAAAAGGGAACACCCTTACTTTACACTAGCCTTAAATATTTAAATTAAATTTCCTAAAAAAAAAAATAAAATTTAATTTAATAATTGGCCCAGAAAAACGTCCTTCAAAATTTTATCATACTTTTGGTAAATATTTTTAAACGGAATATTTTTAAATGAATTTACTAAACTATTTACAAAATAATATTCCGTAAAAACGTCACCTAACTTTAATTAAGTGTCTGATTTCTTTCATTAGACTATAAAGAAAGTTCCCCAACGGAATACCCCTACTATTAACTTTAACTGACGTTTAGCAAAGTTCCTGCAGGGAATACCCTTACTTTTCCACTTGGCCAAAATAAGTTTGAACTAAATTAAATTGCTTGCATATCCAATCGAAAATGTTGTCTAATTTTTGTATTATCCCCTACTCTTACACAGCTTTGCTGAACTTTTAGTTGAGTGCCTGAATTCCTTCCTTACTTTTTCACTACTTCTTCAACTGCTTTATGAACTGCTGGAAATATACGTTGCTCAGCTCTGGCAATAAGTGTATGGCTTACAATTGGCTTGGCTAGCTGCTCGATTATCAGTTTAGCCAAATCATGTTTAATTTGTGCGCATGCCCTGAATTTATACCTTACTTTGGCAGCACATTTCTCATGCTGTTTTTAATTTTTTGACAAATCCGCATCGATTGCGGTTGCCTGCTGTGCGACTTTTTGGCACATGCCACTTGTGATTGTTTTTGGCCAAATCTGAGCAACGACAACAACAACAAGAACAACAACAAGAACAACCGCAGCGAGTTTTGGGGAGTGCATCAATTGCATTCAATTGGCTTTTCAATTGTCATTGCAATTCAATTGCCAATTGCAAAATTAAAGCAAACATCCGCCAAAATGTTGTCGTTGTTGTTGTTGTTGTTGCTGCTGTTGTTGTTGTTGCTGCTGTTGTTGTTGTTGCTGCTTGTTTTGGATTGTTCGGCTGTGTGTTTGCTTTTGTGTTTACCAGAGCTGGCGGCCAATTTTGCCAAATGCAGCGGAAGTAATAGATACAAATGTATCTCCAATGTCTCTCTATACAAATCTAGTTGTGTGTGCGTATATGTGGGTGCGTGTGTGTGTGTGTGTGTGTGTGTGTGTGTTGGCATTGATGTTGCTGCAAAAAATGCGAAGCTAAATTGTCGAACTGCTGCTGCACTCAACTGGAAATATTCGACAAATAGATCAAATGTGCAATTTCCACAAACACACTCGACTCACACACACACACACACACACACACACACACACACACTAACACACACACGCACACACTCAACATACAACAACTATTGTGAGCGTCGCGCCGCCATTTTCAATTGCTCTCTATCTCTCTTTCCCGCTCTCACTATCTTCCACCATCTCTAGCGCGCGCTCTTTCACTCTCACTGCCTGCTCGAATTGGCAAAGGGTATTCCCCTCCTATGATATTCTCTAATGCGTTACATAGAAATTTACTATTGCTCTCTTTCAATAACTTATCTTATGTTCTTTTCGTTTACAACTATCCTTAACTTATCTCAGTTGAAGCAAATTCTGTTCAATTGAGGCCAGCGAATCCTTATTCCTTATCGTATTCCTTCTTCTAAATACTTATCTAATCTCAAGATTCTTTCTTTGTTCTTCGTATTGCTCTATATCTACTCCTTTCCTTTAATAACTTCACTTCCATTTATCTCAACCTATCTTTTTCAATATAAGCTACAGCTGGAGGACAACTATTCTCCCACTCTATCAGTGCCTATTCAATTACCCCCGAATGACCTATCTAATCCGAAGCTTCTTTCGCTTACCGTAGGCGGTCTCATCGAGGAGGGTCTTCTTGATCTCGTGGCCATCGTCGCCGCCGTCGACGCTCTCGATGTCGGTGCGACGGGGCGGCTTCTCGACGGGATTCACCTCGTTGAGCAGGCTCTTCTGCATCTCCATAATGACGGAACCCTCCAGCATGGAGCTGTTGTGGGTCTTGTCCAGCTTGCAGGAGATCAGACCGTCGCCGCTCATCATGGTGTTGTCCTTCTGGTAGGTCTTGACGCGGCGGCAGTACCAGAAGAGCGTCAGCACCAGAAAGATGAGCAGCACCAGAAATGTGGTCACAATCACGCAAATCACAAGGAATATGCTCGTCTGCGGATCGCTGGTGGAGGCGCCGATGGCACCGCTTATGCCCAGCCCGCCCAGGCCATCGGAGGCGGCCGAGGCGCCCATGTAGTCGCCGTTGACCAGCAGCTGGAACTCGGCCTCCGCCTTGCCGCCGCGATTGTCCGCGACACAGATGTAGGCGCCCTTGTCCGAGTTGCGTACCCCGTAGATGCGCAGCTCCGAGGTCATCACCTGGCCGGATGCCGCTGCCGATGCCGCCGGCTGCTGCTGCTCGACGGAGTTGAGAATGCGTATGTGATGATCGTTGGGTCCGGGATTCAGCTGGCGCTTATTATAGATCCAGGTGACATTCGGACGGGGTGTGCCGACAATGCGACAGGGCAGCGTAATGTTGTCGTGATTGGCCTCCACGAAGGAGCGCACCGAGCCAAGAATGCGCGGACGACAGGCAAAGTTCTCGGAGGGCACCTCGCTCCACAGCTTGCCGCGCAGCTGGGCCGGCTCACGGCAGTCGGTGGGCGGCGTATAGAGGCGTTTGGCCATGGCGAAGTCCCGGAACTGTTGCAGCTCGCAGCTGCAGTTCCAGGCATTGCCCTGCAGCGACAGGTACGTCAGCTTGGGCAGGTTGTCGAACGTCTCCTTGTGCAGATGCGTCAGCTGGTTCTGTTCCAGCGAGATGGCGGTCAGCGGTCCGCCAAACACATTCAGCTGGACCTGTTTGAGGCGATTGTTGTTGAACTCGACGCGCGAGAGGAAGGGCAAATTGATGAACAGCCGGCTCTCCAGAATCTCGATCTCGTTGTTGTTGATGATCACGTTGCGCAGCTTCTCGAGGCCCTCGAACGTGTTCGGATGCAGCTGGCTGATCCGATTGCTGGACATGTCCAGTTCGATGAGTATGGCCAGGCCCTTGAAGGCGTCCCGATTCACCTCTTGGATGGTGCAGTTGCGCAAATAGATCTTGTGCAGATTCTGCAGACCCGCCACCTGGAACTCGTCGCGGCGCAGTTCGGGTATTTGGTTCTGGGAGAAATCGACCACCTGCATCTCGTTGCTCATCTCGAGCGGTATTTTGGTCAGCTTTTTGCCCTTGCAGTCGGCGCTCTTCTTGCCCGAATTCCAATGGCAATGGCAATTGCTGCAGTTCTGCATCCAATCCCGGTGGCCGAGCGACTCCTGCGCCAGCATTGCCAGCAGCACGAGGCTCGTTAACAGCAGCCGTAACATTGTGCGCTTTAACATTGCGGCTGCCATGTTAGGAGAATGCTTCGGGCTGTTAGCTCTTATAATGTTATGTTTGCAACGTCTTATACTGATCTGCTTAGCTGCGTTTGCTGCCGCTTGTCGCTAGAGGGCGCTGTGTGTGCGCGCGCGCTCTTTGGCGACTCTCTTAATTCGAATTTAAGCTCTGCCTTGCTGCTCGTGACAGGACAGACAAGACTGTGATTAATTAAGGCGCACCTTCTTCAGTTGTTTTCTTTTTTAATATGCTGTTATTTTTGTTGCCTTCTGCTCCGCCTCCTTCCTATTGTTGTTGTTGTTGTTGTTGTTGTTGTTGTCGTTGTGGGTTGGCAGCTCCAAACTCGCAATTAGCAGTGCAGTTGCCAGCTGAAAAGAAATGCGCAATAAAAGCAAAAAGTGTGTGCGTATTAGTGAAGGTTGCTTAACAGAGTGCAAGTGAGAGAGAGAAAGAGAGAGAGTGAGTGGGAGTGAGGGGAAGATATTTACATGCTATAAAGATGTAGATTAAATGTGCGTAAAGCGTCGCAGCGGCTGCTTTAACGGTAACACCTGCACAATTAAAAAAGCGACAAAGCGACCAGCAAAAAAAAAAAAACAAAAGTGGAACAAACAAGAAGAAACAAAATATTAGGAGAAAGGCTTTCGGCTTCGAGCTGACAACAGTTACGAATCATTCACAAAGCAAATGGCAGCGAGGGCGAGTTACAAACGCGCAATTAATTTGCGCACAACTACGTAATGAGGTCGCCGCCGCGTTACGTAGTGCCTCGTGCGCCGAGACCTTACGTTGCAATTTATTGGCCTGTCAACGCGAGCTTTTCAGACAAATTACAGCTCTTGTTACGCAAATTGCGCGCTAACGTAACGCACTTACATTGGATACTCGCTTAACGTAATTGTGCGTGATACGTAGCAAATGATTTCGTAAGCTCTTACGTGTTGTAGCCCCATAAAACGGTTGTTTGACTAGCCACTCGCATATAACAAATGTTAAGTGCGCTTTCTATTTGGCTTACGTCAGAGTGTGCTAATGTTACGCTGGCTAGGCGCACATGTTACGTTACGTTACGTTACGTTACGTAACTTAAATATTATCTACCCAGACCGCGTGCTAGCGTAGCGTAGTCATGTGCAGATATTTCTATTTGGCTCACGTCAAAGTATGCTAATATTGCACTCATTACGTTACGTTACGTTACTTAAATATTATCTACCCAGACCGCGTAGCGTAGTCACGTGCAGTTGCTTTCAACAAATGCAGTCAATTACGCTTACGTTACCTTAAATCAGATATCAAGTAACAGCTGCTTATCAATACGTTATGCTTAATTTAAGCACAACATATATACACGTATTTTGGCTTGAGCAGTGTTCTGCCGTTACGTCATATGCGCAACCAGTCTGAATTACGTCACGAATCTTATTACGTCACATGCACTGCGTGCATAATTAAAGTCATTGCCAGTGTTTACCTCGCACCTGTGTCACTCGATTAATTGTGACAATTGTCATTAAGGCAGTTTACGTGCTTCATTACGTTATTCATTACGTTATTCAATTAATGTCACATGCGGAGCAGTAAATGATGTTCAGAGTGCGACAGAGACAGACGCAGAGACAAGCAGAGGCAAAGCAAAACCGCGGAACGACAACCGCGACGAGCAGAAGAAGAAGACGAAGCAAAAGAAGACGGAGGCGGAGCGGGAGCAGTGGGAGAAGGGAAAGGGCAAGCAAGAGCACAAAAGACCGCAGGTTCCAAGCAAAGTGGAAAGACAAAGGATGAAAGTTCGTTTCTGTTTGCCTTTGTTTACGGGAAAGGGGCACGGGGGAACGAGCGGACGGGGGGTCAGCGTGTTGCGACTTGATTAATGAAAATGCCGTTAAAGTGTGACACTTTGCGGTGCCTGGCTGTCCCCGGGCCACGCCCACCTGCTGGGCGGCACAGAGCAATGCGAAGTTTAACCTTCAAATTGAGTGGGCCGGCCGCCTTTTGTGTGCGCTCCCCCTGCCCCTAACCCTGCCCCCCACCTGTCCGCATCCCAGCCCCATGCGCATGTTCTTCTTTGGGGTCAAAGTGTGAACATGGCACGAACAATCTGCGAATTGTCGACCCACTTCAGCTGCTTCTTCTGGCTGCTAGCTTGCTCCTCTTCATCTTCTGGCTTCTACTTTCATTCTGTTTTGGCCCTAATTAAACAGCTCAAATGTGCAAACAATGTGAAAACTGCAAACAAATTGTTTATGAATTATTTATTAATAACAATTGCACAGCTGCAGCTGCATCAGAGCGCAAAGCAGTGTTGGTAAACGCTGCCAACAAATGCAACTTGCGGTTCCACTGACCAACATTTCGGGGCTTTGTTTCTGGCTTTTCTCTTTGCCCTTCTATTTCTGATTTTTGTTATTTTCGGGTTTTGTTTTAAACCTAGCAAAAATACAAAGTTGCATTCTGTTGGTTTGGTTCACAGTTCGAATGCCTTGTCCTAAAGTTCGGTTCATAAACTAGTTTTATGCAGTTGAACATGAACTGGTTCGTTTGAGTTCTGATTGAATCATAAAGGAATCATATATAAAATACTATTTCAATGTGAGCTGAATTGGATCACAGTTGAGTATTCCAAACATAAGAATATTGAATCATATTATGAATCACACATGAATCATATTATGAATCATATATGAATCATATTATGAATCACACATGAATCATATTATGAATCATATTATGTGTATGGGTGTTATTTGAATACTATTATGAATCATATATATATATATATATCATATAATGAATCATATATGAATCATATGATTATATTGAGAGCTGAATTCGATCAAAGTTGATAACTCTTCGCTGTTTTTAATATGCGAGAGATTTGGGAAGATATTTGCGATAATTTCTAGAACTTTTCGAACTATTTTCAATCTTTTAAGAACTCATCTGAGCACAAGTTATGATATAATATGGGATCAAGGATATGGATATGGATAAGTTATATGGATAAGTATAAATATCATATAGTAAAAGGGTAGAGCATTTGCCAGTCGTGTATTCCTTTTTTTTCGCACAGTTTTCAATCGTTTTTCCTGTCAGTTTTCATGGTTGTTGTTGTTGTTGTTGTTGTTGTTGTTGTTGTAGCTGTTTCAGCGCTTTTTTCGGTTGAGCGGCGGGTCGAGGAAGCGAGGGGCGAGCGGGCGGGCGGTGGGTGTGCGAGAGCCAGCGCAAAAAACCTCAAAACAAATTAAATATGCAAATAAAAGAAAAATGCAGCAATTTTGCGCTTTGTTAAATATTTGCTCAATGGGTTTTGCGCGTTTTCCCTTTAAATTTTTTCAGATCTTTCTCTTTTTTTCTCTCTCGTTTTGCCCGTTTGTTAGAGCTCTTGCAGCCGTCCCCCCCCCCCTCTGGCCAACCCCACCCACCGAATGCGATAAAAACAATCAAATGATATCTCAAAGCATTCAAAGAGAGTTCGATAGATAGAGCAAAGGGGGGGCGGGGTGGCGCCGTGCAGATCTCGCCGCTTATCTTTAAATATTTACTTAATTCGAGTGCCTTTTCTCTTTGCATGCTTATTAAATGGCCCTAAATACTATGCGGCAACACTGGCGGCACATTAAAGGCACCTTACGACCACGCCCCCTTTCTCTCACGCATCCGCTGTTGCTTATCCTGTGCACAGTTGACACCTTTCTTTGCAGCCTGCCCCTCTTAATTGTGGCGACAATTTGCGATAACGTTTGTTGGGGTTGCCACAGTCTGCTAATGTCCCAATTTGTATATTGTTTGTGGCGCCCTCTAGCGACCAGTCGCTTCAGTCGATCCGCTTGCCATGTGCTCTTAGAGCACGCCCACAGTAGCCGCCTTGCTGCTTTGCTCTCGCCCGCTCTCCCTCTCTTTGCCGGCACTCTGGCTTGCAGGCAATTCAGTGTAACGGTTGTTACATTTTACTCTGTCATTTTATTGCCATTTGCGGTTGTAATTGCTATATAGAGTGTCACGCCCACGCCGCCCCACTCTCCCCTCTCTCTCTCTCTCTCTCTCTCCAGACAACAGAGAGCGCTTAGCCTTTGCATAGGTCTGCTGCCGTCTATTGTCAGCTTAAATCGATTTGAACAAATTTAATTGCTTTGGTTTTGGTTTCTATTTTGGGCTTTTTTTGTGCCTGTTTTTTTTTTTTTCGTTGCTTTTTTTCTCTTTTGGTATTTTATTTGCATTTGGCATTTGTTGTTGTTGTTGTTGTTGTTGCCTTTGGGTACTTTTTGTTTCTGTTTTTATGTTTTTGTCGTATGCCAATCGCCAATTGCCAATTGCTTTTTAAGTGTCTTTCTTTTGTGCTCCCTACCCCTCGCTCTACTCCCCCCCCCTTCCATTCTGGCGCATGCTGTGTGTGTCAAAAGTTGTTGAACCGTCAAAAAATGTACGCGAACAACAACAACAACAACAACGGGAACAACAACAACGGGAACAACAACAATGGGAACAACAACGGGAACATTGAAATTTCCCATTGACCGAAGCCGTCACAACAATTTGTTGCCAAATGAAGCGAATTTCTTTTCACAATTTTCCGCATTTGCCTTATTTTTTCTTGTTGTTTTTTTTTTCGTGCTTTGTTTTAATACTCTTTTTTTTTTATGGCTGCCCAACATAAATATTTAACAATGCGTAGAATATGGTTATTGCTTTTTATAAAGCGCCCGAAAACTGCAAAGCTCGTTAGCCCAAGCGTAACTCGAAACTGATAAATAAATACATATACATACATATACATATACCTATGCATACATGTACATATTTATACATATGTATGTGCATATGTGCATAAGTATAAATAAATAAATAAGAGCAGAAATAACTGTGAAGCTAAAAGCCTATTTGCAAAGTGTTTCACGTTACATTTGCTCTGTCTATCTCTCTCTCTCTCTCTCTCATCTCTCTCTCTCCCCCTCGAGTTTCGCTTGACCAGCTTGTAATGCAATATATATCGAAGAGGGAGGAGTGGGGGGGTGGGGAGAGGGGGTATTTAAAATTCATAACACGCGCAATGATTGTAAAACAATCGAATCAATTGTCAGCTCAAATTGCCGACATTTGATATGTTTGAACTAATGAGCGGAGAGAAGAAGCATTACTTAAGAGACGGCAACTACAAGTGGCAGGAGACAGAGCGGGAGAGAGCGAGTGAGAGAGAGAGAGAGAGCGAGTGAGAGAGAGAGAGAGAGTGAGAGAGAGAGAGAGAGAGAGCGAGAGCAACATGAGCGGAGGAGTGAAAGCAAAATCTGAAAATCGAACCCGAAATTTACAGTTTTTTTATTCTTTGAACTGAATTTTGAGCTGAATCAATCAGCGGAACCTGAATTGAAAC